CATTTTTTGGGTAACTGTATTTGCACACTGTATAAACTCTCAGTATACATTACAAATCGTGCTCGGATATAAACTTTTAAGAATTAATAATTTTGCTCTATTTCACTAAATTTAATGATATTCAACCTTTATTTCAATTAATTAAGTATTATTTGAGATTAGTATCCCAAGATAAGATTTTTCTTCTTGGAATTGAGTAGAGTAGAAGATTAAACAAATTAAATGGTCCTATTGTATGGTTCATCGAGCATATCATCCATAAAAAATTCAAATTAATTGGAGATATTTTGAATTGTTCAAAAGAATTTCATGCTATTTTTTAAAAATAAGAAGCCCTTTTATCCAATAATTGGAGGAAAAAAAAGAAAAAATATGAAAAATTTTATTTACACATCATACAAACTCTCAGAGGGGGTAAAAATATTAGGGGGAAAAAATGTCAAACTAAAAACATTTGATTTTCCAAAAATACCCCTTTTGACTAATTATAATTATATTAAAATTTTGAAAAGATTAGACATTAGTGAAAAAATATTTTGAAATTTAAATTTAAGTATAATAATTGCATGTCCCTTAAAAAGTTAATCCCCAAAAGGTACCAACAAATTGACACATAGGGAGATAAATATATATATATATGGATAATGCTATGGTATACTCTAAATAATCGTTATTCTTTAACCTCTACCATTAAATTAAAATAAAATTATTCTTCTTTAACCTCTAGCAATTAATTATTCTACTATATTTTTCTTCTATCAAACAAACACTACCTTAAAATAAAACAAATAAATTTTAATATTAAAAAAAAATAAAAAAAAAATGATCGACGGGCCAGTGCCTTGCGCAGGCCTACCTGCCTAGTTTATATATAAGAGGTGGATGGCTTGTATTTTGACATGCTTCTTCCACAATTGCCCATAGTTCTTTGAGAAATTTATTTATAAATCTCAATTAGAGAATTTTTAACCCAATAAGTTCACAAAGTATTTTTGTATTTCACTTAATCTCATATATTTAAAATTATATTTCAATAGGTCATTTTTCTTATGTTAGAAGTATAATGTGAATTATTTTACCCTTATACTATATATCTGGTAGAGAAAAAAAGTCATTTATTAGATATATTTCATTTATAATATATATAAAATATTGTATAAAAGTATAGAAGATTATTGTTCTTAGTGTTTTTTGTGCCTCAATGTGAGGGATTCACTTGATCAAGTATCTTTCTTCACCATTATTTTATAATCAGGTGTTGCATGGAAGAACGTTTGGAAGAGAATGTTAGTTGTACATGTAGATTGATGATAGAGACGATGATGGACTCGCAACAAAGATGATGGTAAATCAACGATGAACAATTATTTATTTTTTTTTTTTTGGCCATTGTAATACATAAACCACAGTCTCTTCGTCGGTTTGTATAGTCACTGATATTGTACAGCTTATTCACTAGTATTATGCAAGCGTTGATTATATACAGTTATTTTATTTTATTTTTAATGTACGTCAACATATATGAACTATTTGATATTTTATTATTATATATTATTTAATGATTTGTTGCATATTGTTTGGTATTGTTCTTGTTGGTTGAACAATCAATAATTTATTGCCATTGAATAATTAAAATAGTCAATTTCCACTTTTTTTTTTATTTGTTTTATTTTTAATTTTGTTTCATGTTTGCACATTGTAGTGTGAATATTCTCATTGATATGAATTTTATTTTTAAGGCTAGTTGTATGTTAATTGTAAATCGTGAACATTTACAATGTATTTTGGTATGAATTTTATTTTTCCAAAGATTAGTTGTATGTTTGCTGTTTTTATTACTATATTTGTTAATTGAACAATCATTTTTGTTATCATTGAACAATCGAAATAGTTGATTTTCACTTTTTTTAATTTTTTTTTTATTTTTAATGTTTTCACGTTCAATGTAAATGTTCACATTGGTATAAGTTTAGTTTTTTTAAGAATAGTTGTACGTTAATTGTAAACTGAGAATATTTACATTGGATTTTTGTATTAGTTTTATTTTTTCGAAGTCTAGTTGTATATTTATTGTTTATTGTAAACATTCACATTGTATTTTGATTATTGTTTCGATTTTTTGTTATATTATTTTTAAATTTTCACATTATAAAAAAGTATGAAAGTATTGTATTTTCGAATGAATTATATTTTTTTCAAAAGTTAGTTGTATATTTGTTATTTTTGTTACTATACTTGTTAATTGAACAATCATTTTTGTTACCATTGAACAACCAAAATAATCGATTTTCACTTTTCTTAATTAATTAATTAATTAATTAATTTATTTATCTTTTTATGTTTTCACATTCAATGTAAATATTCACATTGGTATAAGTTTAGTTTTTTCAAGGATGGTTATATGTTAATTGTAACTGTGAACATTCAAATTGTATTTTGGTATTGGTTTTATTTTTTCGAAGTCTAGTTGCGTATTTATTGTTTATTATGAACATTTGTATTTTGATTTCTGTTTAGATTTTTTGTAACATTGTTTTTAAATTTTCACATTATAAAAAAGTATGAAAGTAGAATATTTATTAGCTTCCTTAATTTTAAAAAGGTGAGATTTTAAATAAGATATTTATTAGTTTCTATAATTTTCTTCTAATATACAGATTTTAATTCAAATTGGGTAAGTATTCAAACTAGAGTGATTTTCTCTTAAAATATGGATTTAGTTTACATTTTTTGCGATAAATCTAAAGTTGAGATTTTTGGTCTTTTGAATAACTAGAGAACTAAATGAGTTATTATAAATTAACTTAAATTAATTAGTATGTAATTAAAAATAGAATTTTTTAAAAAATCTCCCTAGCTCTTTCAGTGTTGTACGTCTTGTTGTCATTGTCAGCCATGTTTTGGAAATTGTCCAGCGGCTTACTACGTCACATCAATCAACATCTCCTCTCTACTTTTTTTACACATAATACAAAAAAAATCAAAAAGTACACTTATTTAGTCTTCCCAAACTAGGCCTAAAACAAAGGCCTGCGGCACTATGTATCCAATGTATATTTATCTATTTAATTAATATAAATATTGTTGCATTTATTTACGAATAATGCTATATGTACCAATTACTGTACTAATAGGTGATGTGACATTATTTTAGAGATTTTGGATATTTTTAATGTGTATAATAAACGTAGTTAGTAATAATATCATAACACTAATTGGTACACTAATTTATACAAATAGCACCACAATTTATTTACAATCTATTAAATATTAATAAAATTTATGTACAATTAATTACATTAAAAGTTGCAGAAGAAGTATTACATATTTTGAGCATATCATATCATGTATTTTTTTTTCTTTTTTATCTCATCGTAAGAGTAATTCCAATAATGAAAGTTAAATTGATTTTTGCGAAAACAAAAAGTTAGAACTTAATTATGGGGTTACATACACTACAAGAAAAATCACTTTTGGCGACTAAATTTTTAGTCGCCAAAAGTCCACTTTTAGTCGCCGAAAGTCGAGTTTTTGCTTTCAGCGACTAATTTTTTTAGTCGCCCCTTTTGTCGCGCATAAATGGTCGCGAGAGGTATCGGCGACTAAACTTTTTTTAGTCGGCAAAAAATAGCTCTTTAGCGACCAAATGTTTAGTCGCCATTGGTGCATTACACATTTTAAAAGCACACATTTGGCGACTAATATTTTAGTCGCCAATAGTCCATGAATCGCCGACTAAACAATTTTGTCGCCCAAAATAACACTTTTGGCGACTAAAAGTTTAGTCGCCAAAGGTTCTTCCGTAAAAAAAAAAAAAAACAAATTCTTTGGTTTTTCTGAGATTCGAACCGTGAACCATTCCAAGTGCCAACACCTTTACCAACATACTCCCCCCACTATGCCACTTGAACCTCACATGATTATATATGCAATATATATTATTTATATACTATTTTGACCGGTATTTATACAAAACCATATCTGTAAATATAATTATTTTTATTGAATATAATTTATGTAAAAAATAAATTATTTATTAAAAAAAAATGTAGGCCACTTTTGGCGACTAAATCAATTATTTAGTCGCCAATTCTATGATTTTTGGGCTACTAATTAATTTGTTGTCGCTAAAAAAATATGTTTAAATTAAAAATAGCACTTTTCGCGACTAAATCTGTTTTTAGTCGCCAAAAACGTCCCGTTTTGGCTACTAAATTGAAATTTAGTCGCCAATTCACTGTTTTTAGCTACTAATTTTTTTTTTGTAGCTAAAAATCTTCATTTTCAGCGACTAATCTTTTTTTAGTCGGCAAAAGACCCATAATCGGCGACTAAAATGGTTTTTAGTCGCCAAAACCATAACTTTTGGCTACTAAATTATTTTAGTCGCCAAAAACCGTCGCTTTTGGCTACCAAACACCCTTTAGTCGGCAAAACTGTTACATTCGGCAACCAACAAACAGTTTAGTCGCTAAATCCTTGGTATTCGGCGACTAATTCATTTTAGTCGGCAAAAGGCTTCATTTTTGGCGACTAAATCAAGTTTAGTCGCCATTTGGTCAACTTTCAGCGACGAAATTCTTCATTTTAGTCGCCATTTGTGCTTTTTCTTGTAGTGATATATCCAATTAAGTTCATTTTTTTAATAAATTATATACGATTCAATTTATTTAATTTTCTACTCCATTTACTTTCGAAAAGTAAAATCTTTTTTATAATAATAATTTTTAATAACTGAAATGATGACTAAATGCCATTGAATTGGAATGAAATTATTTTTCTTCCACCTCTACCAAATAATCATTCTATTATATTTTGTTTCCATTAAAACAAACACTATCTTAAAACCCAAAAATAAAAAATAAAAAAAATTGCAAGTCGCCTGTGGCTTGCTCGGGCCTAATTTACTAGTGTGTATATATATATATGTGTGTGCGTGGGATCCATAAATGCCAAATAAATAAATAAATAAAGCTACCACTAGATATATAATTCACGAAATTGGTTAGATCTTTATTTAACTCAATTCTTATAAGGTTTACTAAGTTAAACCTTAATCCATTACAACATAGGAACTAGGAGCAATGGTTGCTACAAGCACATACACAAGAACCCTCAACGCATCCATAGGCCCAATTAGGAGGACATAATTTGATGCAATCTTTGTCAACGGAGCACTGTTTGCCGCCAGCAGGATAGTACTCTTTCTGTCGGGCTTGTGCTTTAATTCCCGACATGCTAGAAACTTGCAAACCTGCAAAACAAATGTATGTTTCTCACATTCATGTAATAATTCTAGTGTGTATGAAATACTTACATAGTGTTAATTGTTAAGTTGTTATGTGTGAGAGACAAAGAAATAGACTAACCAGACACAGAGACAAGGAGGATGGCCAGGAAAAGCATCTTCAAAAAAACCCTCTCCATATCCTTTGAAACAAGTTGGTAAATGGAATTACTTGCACTTTTGTATTGGGAGAGACTTAGCTCCAAGCAATATGTATATAGGGATTGAGTGGGGTCATTAACTTTTTACACAAATAAAAGAATAATATTATATGTACTAATTAATGTATTAACTAGTGTATTAATATACTAATATATGATGTGGGCCCAAGGATCCTCTGTCCCCAAATAATCTTGTCCCTTTGTCCCAAATCACTCACAATTATTGGATATGTCTTGAGATTTTTACATCTTGGGATTCTCATATGATCCAATGATTGTGAATAATTTGGGCAGCGGGACATGGTTATTTGGGGACAGAGGATCCTTGCTAATGATGTGGTTTCATTTTAGAGGTTTTGGGTATTTGTAATGTGTATAATAAATGTGGTCAGTAATAATGTCATAACACTAATTGGTAAACTAGTTAGTATACTAATTGGTGCATATAGCACCACCAATTTATTTTTATTTCTTTTAACAACTTCTCAAATACAACAATAATTTTTAATACAAATTAATTTGGAGTAAATGATATTTAATGACATTATCAGTGGCACATCATTATTTGGAGGATTCTACACAAAATTTATAGGTGAATTTGGTCAAACTCCCCCTTAACAAAATTTTCATTCATTAAGGGCAAACATTAAAGTTTTTACATTTTTTTTGAACTAATAACATAAAAAAATTTCCTTGGAAAAGTTAACACTGCTATTACCAAAATATTTTTAATAATCAATTTCATATTTCAAATTTCAAATTTTAAAATGATATAATTTTTAATGTAAGTGTCAATTTTTAATAAAATCAATATTTTTAGATCCTCTTATCGAAATCTATCAAGCAAAATCCATACTGGCCATGAAATTTTTTAAAATATATATAGTAATTTTTTTAGTATCGAAATTGTAAAATTTTACTCTATTTCATAGTAAAAATTTACTCTAATTCACAATAAATTTGACTATGAAATTTTAGTATTTAAATAGTGAAATACTATCATCATCACTAAACACTATAGTCCCTATAACTGTTATTGCCCAAGTAGAAATATTAAATAGAAAAATATTAAAATAATAAAATCATAATTATTTTTTTTAACAGCGAAGAAATTTTTTATTGATGAAATAAATCGTACAAATGAGAATATCTAAAGAATGTGAGTATGAAGAGTATCATAGTAAAATTAAATGATTTCAACTAAATTGGTACTTAAGAGTAAACACAATCATATGTTATCACAACACCCAAAAATTGGTGAGGAGCTAATAAGAAAAGAAACAGAAGTAAAAACCAAAAAAGCAAAGCAAGAGTGCAATAGTCCAAATAGCCACTATAAGCATCTTGAGTAGGGGTGTTTGTGATTCGATTATGGTCGGAAAACGTCCAGTCTACCATCCATCCGTCAGATTGGTGGATTGAAAAAAAAATCAACCCGCATCCTTCGATCAGATTGGCAGATGCGGATTGGTAGATTGGTAGATAGATATGAATCAGTTTGGCAATTTAAATTTTTACAAATTTTATACATAATACAACAACTTGTCAACAATATTTTTTTTGAGTTAATTACATAAAAATCATAGTTACAAATATTATGGTAGCTCAGGCCCTATTTAAAAAAATTTAAACTAATAAGTTCTATTTAATAAAACTGAGAATATTATCAGTTTTTAAACTTTTACAAATTTCGTAGGTTTGGATTGCTCAGCAGTGTAGTTTTTGCTGGTCTCCTACCGTGTAGTTTTTGTGGTTGCCTAAGCTAGTTTTTCTTTGCCTTTGCTCTATTTGCTCTGTTTGTTGGTCTTTCACCAACTAGCAGGTTAGAGCTTGATATAGCTCCAAGCTCTTCTTTATTGATGTAATGTATCATACCTTATATGTGTTTCATCACTAAAGTCTTCTTTTTGCCGATCAAAAAAAAGAAGAAAATTATCAATTTTGCATAGTAATGTTTCAGATATTTGTTTGACTTACTGATGAAAAAAACTAGAGTATAGGATTAAACGTTTTTACTCTTCTACTTATTGGTTTGATTGAACGATCCAATAAAACCGAGAATATTATTAGTTTTTTCATTTAATTTTTTTTTTCAGTTCTGCGCATCAATGTTCCATCATTATATTCTTTTATAGACACAAAATTTTCAGTTTTGCACAAAAAAATAATTTAGTTTTTCAAAAAAAAAATTCAAAAAAAAACATCATTTTTTTTTGTTTTGCACATAATTTTTTTTTTTTAGTTGTTTCAATTTGAAAGTTGATGTTTTAAAGTTTTGAAAATTAGAATAAATGTCAAGTCATCATGTTCCTTTAGAGATAATCTTAAATGAAGAACAATCATTGTTTGAAGGACAATTTTGATCATTAAAAATTTAATGGGACTTGAAGGTCCAAAAAATCTTAGTTTGGACTTAATAAAGTACAAGTTAATAAATTAGGACTTGTGTGTAAATGCCCTTTTTTATTTTTTTTTATAACAATCCAACTAAACATAATCAAAATATTATCAAGTAAATTGTTAAATACCAAAAAAAAATACGTATAAAAAACCATGCATTATCAAAATTATTTCATTACTTTTTTTTATTCAAAAACTATTTAATTTGATTTTTTTTCAAAAAAAAATGACAAAAGTAAGCCTTATATTTTCCACAAAAAATACCAAATATCAACACTTACCATTTGATAAAATGATTTCCAAATTGAAAACAAATTGAAAATACAACAGAATATCTAAACTCTTTTTTAATTGGAAATAGAAACAGAATGTCTAAACAAATTGAAAACACAAAGTCTTTCAAATTACTAGAAGTGCTCGCGGTTTGGTGATTCGGTTACGACCAAAGGAACTTCAAATCTATTATCCGTCCAAAACTAGGTGGATTGAAAAAAATGAATCCACAACTGTCTACTCGTCATCATGCATCCGTGCAAGATGCAGCAGATCGGTTCGATTTGGTTGGTTTGAACGGATTGAAATATCTGCTGCTCATCCCTAATATTGAGTGTTAGCCCCAGAGAAGTAAACAACCCTTCAGCAGTGGCCAAACCAGATATGAAATGCAATGAGGCAGCTAATGTATCCAACCCAAAATGACTTCCAAACCAAGCAAAATTCTTATGGAGAACCAATCCTAATTTGTTGAAGATTGTAGACAAAAGTCATTGATGGAAAAAGTTAAAAATTTTGGATTTTGACAAAGTCGTTAATAAAATTATAATGTTCAAAGAGTAAAATTTTATTATTAATTTAAAACAAAATATCAACAAATAAAAGACACATTACATATTACCAATTCTAATTAGAGTAAAATTTTACTATCATATTACAAAATATCAGCAGACAAAATATAAACCACATATTATAAGAGCAAACTAAACTAAAGTTAATCTAATAACCAAAATAAAGACACCATTATTCAATTAGATTCAATAAAAAATATTCACTCTTTCAAAAAATAAAATAAACAAATGAAATATACATTGTTCAATCTTCAATTTCACTTGAAAAAAATCTTCAACAATTATTTACTCTGTTAGGTTTTTGTTATTGACAATCTCGTTTGACAAAACTCCTTTCAGTGTAATTTTATTCGTTCTTTTCTTTTAGTGAGGTTATGAGTTTTTAGATACGAATCCAACCCGAATTGTGCCTATGCGGAGGAGTTTGTGATCTTAATCCTATCATGTTTGTCACTTTGTTGGCTATGTCAGGGATCAAGCCGCCCGGTCAGCTCGTAGGGGTCCAGCGGGCAGTGCCCCTTGGCGGGTCCGGGACAGCGCCTAGGCAAGGTCAAGGGACAGCGCTTGAGCGAAGAATCTTTGGTCCCATAAGTTTTCACTGACCGTAAAAATACTTAGAAGATGCATTTCTCGCTCGAGAAAACCTTTAGTGGCTCGAGTGAAGACATTTGGAAAATCACGCGTTTTAGTCTTCTCGCTTGAGCAAGCATTCCTTCTTGATCTTCTTTTTGGGTATTGGGGTTTTTTCTTGAGCTTCTTCTCTTGTTTTCTTTGATATCTGTGAGAGTTTAATCATGAATTGAGTGGATTATATCAAAGGGTTTGTTTAGTTTGTTTTACTCACAAAAGAGAGAGAGTTGTTCTTTGGTGGGTTCCGTAGAACTTGAGCTTGAAGCTTTGGTGGATTTTGGAGTGGTTCATCGTCATGGATTCAACATTGGTGTTGTGGATTCAACGTTGGGCAAGACAATTCTGAGGTAAAGACGGGGCTAGAAGAGGCACATAGGGGTCAGTTCTATTCGGGCGTGGATTCGTTAGGTAATTGAGAGTATACTTGTGTAATTCCTTTATGCCTTCTTAGTGGATTGTTTTGTGGCTTTTGCCCGTAGTTTTTCATCACAATTAGAGGCACTTCAATTGTGATTTTTTCACGTAAAATGATTGTGTCGATTTGTCTTTGATTGTTTGATTAGGATTGCTATTTACTGGTTAAAATTAATACATAATCACAAATCAATATCTCTGGGATTTTAGATTTATCAATTGGTATCAGAGCATGTCATTCTATTTTTTTTTTTCAAAAACTATTGGAGCGAGATCATGTTTGATTTGTGATAATGGAGTCAATTTGTTATGGAAATTCTATGGTTCGACCACCCCTATTTGACGAATCTAATTATTCTTTTTGGGAAGCTCGGATGAGATCGTTTTTAAAATCTATTGATGAAAAAGTTTGGCAATCTGTTATGTGTGGGTGGACTGAACCAACAATTACCGTTGATGGAGTAACTTTCCCCGAACCAATTGATTAGTTGGATACAACTGATTACCAAAATAGTAGCTGTAATAGTAAAGCTATCAATTCTCTCTTTTGCACCATCACACTAGAAGAGTTTAATTGTATTTGCAATTGTGAAGTCGCAAAAGAGGCTTAGGATATCTTAGAAACTATTCATAAGGGTACTTCTTCTGTTAAACGCTCAAAACTTCAAAGGCTCACGTCTAGTTTCGAAAACCTTTCAATGAAAAATAGTGAGACTTTTGATGAATTTTATGCTAAGTTAAGTGA